AAACTTTTTGAATTAGATTAACTTATGTTCGATTTTCGAGTCAGTGAGTCGAATTAAAGTTTTCTATCCGTGAAAAGTGATGTAAAAACAAAAAAGTTTCTTGGTTCAAGAGAGATCTATGAACATCGTTATTAACGTCGTTATATTAGTAATATAATAAAACGAGTGGAGAGATTGTTAAATTACTGAAAACATGCCGCCAAGTTTTCATCCATTTCACCGTTTTCTGTTTAATCATGGTTTTCCCTTTCTACCTGTCACTTTAACGTGATTTTCTCCGGTCATTGTGATGATCGATCAGCTGCTCATAAATGAAAGATTTTCACCCCGCGAATAATTACTTATACTTTCTCTGAAACTTGTGAATCAACCTTCTCTTTTAATGTTTTAAGAAACAAAGAATAAAATTATGCAGTTTTTATAAATATAATTTTCTTCTCTAGTTTTGCTTCATTTAGTGTAAAATTAAGTTATAACTTGATATAATATAAAAATAATAAGTTTCAATTAATTTCTATTTGTTTTGTTTAAAAATCATCCACGAATAAATTAATTTTTTTAAGATTTCATGTCCACTATAATAATATGTATTTTATTTTAATAAATCTAATATTCAATCTATCTGAACAATAATTTTATTTTAATAAATCTTATGTTTAGATTGTATATTCAAATATTGTATTCAAATTATAACAATATCATTAATAATTACTTTTCTAATGTTATTTATAGCTTTTCAAATCTTAGCTTTATTTACGATATCTTATGATATTTTATATATAAAATATACGTAGACATAAATTTCGTTAATTTTATAAAATTGAATGCGAGATAAAGATAAGATTGAGAAAATTGTTTACATTGGTTACTTATATAATAATTTATTTATGATACTTTATATTAGACTAACTAATTTCAACTGACAAAGTCCTTCGTTAGATTCTCAAGAATCGGGATCGCCCAGAGAATCCGAAAAATCCGAAAATAGCCGAAAATAGCCGAAAATAGCCGAAAATAGTCGGACATAACCGAAAGAATAAATCGACGCGACGCGACGAAGAGCGAGAAAGACAATCGCGTGAGCGGATCTTAATCACATATTATATTATTTTTTTCTATAATGATTGAAAAAGACTTATAAATAAATTATTATATTAACGTAATATTGGATGTTATAGATTTATCAATAGGATTTCTTGGATTTCGTGATGCTTTTTATAAGGAACCAAATCAATTCTGTCTATTATTATATCGATGATTTTGTGCAATGAACATTTTTGAATATCGTTTAGTCGCCTACACGAGGTGAACTAATCGTGCGTGTAACGATTCAATGTCGCTCTAGCGGCCGTAGTCATGATACATGAGCACACCTTTTCTCTGCCTACACCGATCTCGATTCTTCACGGACCATATACGAGTCGTATAACTTCCGCCGTGACGGAAATTTACTACGATCGGTGCGATCGCTTTACTCGCGTAAAGATTGCTTCGAGCTGTTATGACGCGATCGCTGATTCTATCGTCGTCAACTGTTTTCTTCACTGCAATGATCGATTTATGATAGTTCAACACATACACTACTGTGTGTCATAAATATGTATTCTGTATAAATATTTTTGTAATTGTCATTTATATTAGCTGAATTTTATTAAGTATGCTAATTAATATAATAAATTAAAATAATTAAAATTTGCATCTTTCCATTATTCGAACAATATATTTTCTACTAACATACTATAGATAAATATTTAATTTTCATTTGAGAAAACAAAATTTATTCGGTTCAATATGATTTAATATGAAATTAATGTTGAAAATTATTTACAATAAATATAATATTTATATGATATGAATATGATTTATACAACGTAAAAATAAAGAATAATATTAATTAAAATTATATAACTTAAAAAACTTTGGAAATTGAAATCCATAAATTTGATTTTTTTTATAAGAAAGAAATAGAATTTAATATTTTATTTTATGATTTATAAATATAAAATTGCTAAACACTTTTAGTATACAAAAATTATCTTATTCAAATATTTTTGTCTTTCAATTAATATGTATAATGGTTTTACTATACTTTTTTTTATTTAGATTAAAAATTAAAATACGTTTGTCAAATTATTATGTTCATAAAATAATATTAGATTTAATATTTGATTTAAGATTTTAGAAGAATTTCTTCAATTTAAGAGAATTTGTTATATTTAGAAATTAAATAGATAATTTAAATATCAAACCTGTAAACTTTTTCAAATAAAAAAAAATTCTATGAAATTTAATAATTATGATCATTAATTTTCTTATTACATAATGTTACATACTTCAAAAATAAGCAATAATAATAAATTTAAAAATAAATAAATAATAAAAATATTATATTTTAGAAATCAATTTTGTTCTACAATTATATTGCATATTACATATTGCATAATTGCAAACAATAAAATTATTATAAATTCTTTCATTCTTAATATTGTGACTCAAATATATATTGATAAATCTTTCTGACCAATCATATTCTTAATGATGGAAACTGACGAGGCGGAAAGGGATACAAGTTTTTGTTGCAAATCAAGTTCAAACCATAGATTGAGTTTTTCTCGAGTTACGGAAGCAGTAGTATAGCGTTTAAGTGCCCTTAATTATACCTAGTAGTCGGATTCTCGAATCATCTTTCTTCAAGACAACTCTGATTATGCAACGATGCCGCAACTACTACATAATTATTTCTATGATGCAACAAAATCTGAATCAAAACTGAGGAAAATTTTAAATAAATCAACACAAATAGAAAATTTAAATTCTTTATATACTATTTAAACAAATTATTTAAAAATAGTATTTCATTTAATACTTAAATTGTTTTAATTGTGTTTTATGTTTTTATGAATATTTTTATTAAAAATATTGTTCTATTATAACTGTATGTAAAGAATAAAAAAATATAATCAATTTACAATATCTAAAATTTTAAATATTTTATAAAATATAAAAATATTTTAAATAAAATAATAAATTTTAAATATTTTAAATACTTTATATATCGTCAATTTATAAATAATTGTTAACAATATTTCTAATAATTTGGAATAAAAAAAAAATAATAAGAATTTTTTTCTCTTAACAATATTTTAGCGATATTATCGATATCTCAATCTATGATTTTATATTATCGAAAACTAATTTCTTAAAATTTTATCATTTATATAATTTATAAATGCTGTGAAATAAAAGAAATTAAAAATCGCCATAATCAAATTTTTCATTCAAAGAACTAAAATTATTCAAAAGAAAAAAATCTCTTTATTCGATATTGTTAAACGTCAAGGATTTTTTCAAACGACGATAAACGTGTAGGAGTAAAACAAGTTTTTTACGACGAAATAATTTGGTGGCCTATAAACTGGCTATGAATGGTCACGTGTAGTGAATCTCGTTCGAGAACTCAAGCAGACGATGGAGAACGTCGAGTGTAGTATTCTCGTTACGCCGTACCGTCTTGCTGATATCGATCTGACGAGTTTCTCTCAACTTCTGCCGACAGCCGTGAAAAAAACGGAAGCACGCTGTATTAACAAACTCCGCCTTTGCGAGGCATTTCAGATCGATGCACCGGTAGTTTAGTAAGTGAATTTTCTATTTTTTTTTTCCTCTCTCACGACCTTCTCTTCGACTATCTAGATTCTTTGTGGATTGGTCACGCTTCGATTGAGCGCGTGATGAATGCATCGATCGATCTCTGCGCCATCTTTTCGTACAATTTTTAGATAGCCTAAAAATAAGGATTTTTATTAGGTTAGGAAGTGAGAAAATTTATTTGCAAAAATTGTGCGGTAAGTTTGAAAATAAGAATTGAGAGCTAAAAAAACTTGAAATAAGTTGAAATATTATTTAATGTCTAAGTGAAAAACAAATACTATTTACATATTGAATAACATATAAATAAAATATTAATAAGCTTGATGAAATATATAATGATTTGATTTTTTATATAAATGTTACGTTATAAATAATTTTTAATTATTATAATTGATTTTTCAACATTATATATTTTTTTTTTATACATATTTCTTTATTAAATTTTTAGATAAGTGGTACATTCGTTATATTTCAATTTCTTGATTACTTTATCTTTTTCTTCAATTATCAATATATTATATAAATACATATTTTATATTATATAGATTTAAACACAGACATATAGATAATACAGATAATAAATTATACAAGATAGATTTTTTAGATATATCTTTTAAGTAAGATCTTTCAATTTTCTATTGAATCTTTTCTATAATATTTATAATAAAAAAATAAATAAAATATGAATATTTATCTGAGAAAATACATGTAGATAACGAAATGTTCAAATAACGGATCTTTTTAATGGAAATATTGCATTATTTGTACTGTATTACTTACAATACTATCTTCTGTATTATTTACAAATACTATTTTCTTTTATCAATAAAATATTCATTCTAAAATAATATATTTAAAATACAATTTATATATATATATAAAAAAATTATTTGCAATATCCTGTATTTGTTAAAAAAAATAAATATTCATTTATAATTATCTACTTCAAAAATCTATTTTCCCTAGTCTTGCGTAAAACTATATTACTGGCTGCAATGTATAAGTATATTAATAACAACCGGTAGATCGCAAAACTGTCTAGAAATTATAAGATACCACTATTATATCTATGATTTATGTCACACATATATTCTCTGTCCAACGACCGTTTAACTGATCACGCTCATTAATGGTTTTTAATGCTTCGAAGTACATATTAACAAGTATAGAGCGTGTTTAATTATCGTGCAGGAACCGATTAATCAGAAACGCATTGCCCATTTTTAAACTTGGAAAATATAATTTATTTTATATAAATAAAAATCGATTGCTATTTTTAAAAAACAAATTCGAAATATATTTAATTTTTGATAACGTTTAATTTATATTTGATATTTAATTTGTTTCAGATCAAGCTGGAACGCGTGCTCGGCGTAACCGTGTCGAGCAATGCAGCCCTGGACTGCGACGCGACCAGTGAGCTAGTCGCCTATCCTGCCGGGTAAGTTTTAGACCGATCTCTTTTCCTTTCATTGATTTATTCATACATTCGTTCATAAGTATTAAAATATATGTATATATGTATTATATAAATATATGTATTATAATAAAGTTAAAAACATTATTGAGGAATTATAAAAATTGTTAACAATTACAATAATGGTTGTTTGAATTCTAATAAAATTATATATGTGACTTAACAAAATTATGGTATAATTTAGTTCCATTATTTTAGTTTCATTATTGTCTCAGCGTTTAATATCATGTAACCTAACTTATTCACAAAAATAATGAATAAATATAACAAGAACAAATAAGAAAGACACAAATATAATGAAATATATAATGTTTATAATAATATATAATATAAATATATAATTGTAAAAATTTAAATTTTAATAATTTTTATTTTAGTGAATTCAAACACGATATAAATCGGATAAGTTTTCATTTTATCCTATTAATAATTAATTTTAATCATAAATATATAAACAAATATAAGATAAATATGAATATGAACTTATTCGATTTATATTTTTAATTTTTTTTAATTATAATTTTAATTTTTTTTTATTAGAAAACTTATGATATTGAACTAATTTTTAGAAATTATAGAAATTATAAAAATTTCTACAATTATAATAATTGCACGATCTCAATTATCATTACTTGATCTATAATGCTTATAATTTTTATTATATTTATTCATCATATTATATTATTATTATATTTATTCATCAAGTTCTATACATACTATTTGTACATAAATCGAATTCAAATATCAGTTTTTTTATATAATTTATCATAAATTACAATGAAAAATAAATTAAAAAATTTTATTATATATTATATATATATAAATAATTATTAATTACTAATTTACTACTTTTTTATAATTCTCGCAAATAATTTTTACAAATTTTTATAAATTATAAATTAATTATTAAATTATTGAAAACAGTTTATTAGTTGATATTTACATCGATTAATAATTCATTTACATATATGTATAATTCATTATTAATACTTGATTACAACATTTGCAAAATAGATAATACTTAATAATTAGTACTTATGAACTAATGTATAGAATATTAATAAAGATATATAAATATATACATTATTTCAACTCTATATTATATTAAAAAATATAAATAAAATTTTTTATGATATATTAATTCATAAAATTAATTTAATTAAAAATATGTATTTCCTTATTTATTTATACGTTATTGCATTTAAATCTTGCAACAAATTTTCGATTCTCAAGAAATGATTTAAAATATCTTGCCATCTTGTCGTAATTCGTTTCGCAATCAATAAGCACATGATTATTTGTTTCGAATATTGCGATGTTTCAACGTTACGATGAAATAAAATTGAATCTGACGAAGTTAGGTTAAGTTGATTTTAATTGAAGTTGTAGTGGTTGTGCGTGAAACGATCGATTCGATTCGATCACGTCGTTACTGGCTGATTCGTTGCAGCATTAAATCATTCATCGATAACGACCGGTATCGATTGTAGAATTATAGTAATTGCTAGGTTAAGGAGGCGCAGAAACAGGTAAAAGGGAGAGTGGCGCTGCGCTCATCGATAAACCGTTGTACCTAGACCTTATTGCTTTCAAAACATCTTTTCTTACACTTCATTTTTATAACTTTTTTCCTTTGAAATCGTACGTGATGAGGACTCAACTGATAATTAAATTGCAATTGATAAGTAGGATTTATAAGATTAATTTGATATTGAAATATTTTCAATTTCAACTTTTTCTAGGGATTTTTTAATGTACTTTAAGCTTAGTTTTCATGCAGTTATTTTATGTATTAATTTTGATATATTTTGTAATAATTCGATTTAAAATTAATAAAAAATTTTTGCAAAACACAGTATATATTCAATGAAATATTTTTCTTTATGTAAAAAAACAACATTGCAAAAATATCATATATATATTTATTTATTTATTTATTCATATATTTTTACACACACACATGTATTCTGACTTCGCATTTGGCAATGCTCGCAAAACCGTGAAATTTGTAATACGTATCACAAACAAAGACTACATCTTCAGACAAAGAATGATTATTTAATTCTCGAATTTTCTGAAAATTTTTTTTTAATTTTATGATATTATATTTGATTATTATATTTGAATGTTTTTTTTATTTGATATAAAAATTAAAATTTTTCGAAAATCTATGAATTTAATTTTGCATTCTAAAAATTAATCTTTTGCTTTCGAAAAACAATAATATTACAATTACGAATATACATTATGAATATATTTATATTTCTTAATTTTATAAATATTAAAACCAATCTTCTAATAATATCACATAAAATATTTGATCTTTTGAACCAAAGAGAAAATGTTAAAATGAAAAATATTTACATACAAATTACATATCTAAATAAAAAGTAAATATAAAGACAGAAAATCATAAATCTATCTCCGGTCTCAAAGGAGTTAAAGAGTTAAAGAGTTGTGTGACATCGGTGTATTTGAATAGAAAAGAACGGAATCGTATAAATTCATCGAGTTAAAAGTCGGTCACTATTCATATAGAATAAAAGAAAGATATTCTTTTGCATAACGCTCGGATACACGGAAGTTGAGAGATTACCTCGATTCTCAATATCGATTCACGACGTTCGATAAAGATGTTCGTTGGTCGCTGGAAATTGCAAAACGCTTCGTCATATGACCTAGATTTATTGCTTTTCTCATCATTTTATTTTTTGTTTCTCAAAGTTTAAGCGTCCTTAGTTTAATTAATGAATTGCTTCGTTTTGTATTTTAACACACTATACTTCATTATTCGATGAATAAGTAATGACTGAAAGAGAACAAGACAATAATTACGCAGCAATTTCACGAATATTACCGAATATTACCGATCGTCTCCGATCAAAATTCATTACAATTATCGAATGATATATCATTTGAACCATGAGTGTATATATAATAATTATAATTCTGTCCTAATATTTTAGCATCAACTTCACTTTTAATGTTTTTTACATGTGTATATATATATATATATATATATATATATA